GCCATCGTGCGCATCATGAAGGCGCGCAAGCGGCTGCGACACAACGAGCTGGTGCAGGAGGCGCTGGCGCAGACGCGCGCGCTCTTCACTCCGCAGATCCCCATGATCAAAAAGTGCATCGACGTGCTGATAGACAAGGAGTACCTGGCGCGTGTGGCAGACGCTACGGACGAGTACAGCTACGTGGCGTGAGCTGCGAGCCGCCCTGGGCGGGCCGGCGGCCCTGGGACCTGGTGCGGCGCGACGCCACCCGTCGCTGGCCCGGCCAGGCGAGCCGGTGTGATGATCGGGTGGCGCGCGCCAGGTGCTACAGCAGGCAACGGTCGGCGCGCGACGGTACCCGGTAGTGACGCCCGCGCTGCCCGTCCGCCGGGGTTTAGTGTGATGTGCTCAGGGCGAGCAGTGGCTGTCCGGCTCGGTTGGTCGGGTCCGCAGGCGGCTGGTGCTCGTGTGCTCGCTGGCCCGGCCGCCGTTTTAATAGGACGCTAAACTAAGAATTCAGGTGCAATGTAGTGACACCGGGAGGATCTGTACTGATAACCCATACGGAGAATAAAGCGGAGAGTTTGTTATCGACCTAATGGCTGGTGTGTTGGAACGCTTGCGTGTTGGAGTCCAGGAACTGTGCGATTGCTGGAGGCGTTTCGCTTGAATACCACGTTTTTTGTCACGAATGTTCACTAGCCATGCTTATTTTGCACCTTCGTATTTTACCGGTTGAAGATCACGGTCAGGATTTATGAATTATACTCTGACGGCATCTGTTGACTTTGTACACAGTTTCCGGTCACGTAAATGCTGCGGCCCACACGGTGCGCGAATTTCGTACTCTCGGGGCTGCTAATCAACGTTGCTGTTCGACAGTGCGAGGCCTGGCGCAACCCGCGAGCGCAAAAAAGCGCTGGAGCCCTTCCGGACCCCCCAAGCTGAATGGGGAGGACCTCTGCCGAGGAGACTCCACTAGGCACCGGCTGATTCGGCTCGTTTGGGGCCTTCCTTCACGAGGAGGCGCCGTCGTTGATCGGGATCCGGGCAGGCCGGCAGCGCGCCAGCAGTACATCGCTCGTGCGTACACAGGGAGTTGTGTCGCCAGCATGGCAACCGTGGCAAACAGCTGAGTGCCATCAGATCTATGGCCCACCAAACGTGCCAGGCCTGGGAAATGAGAAACGGTAGTTAAACAGGTTTTGCGGAGAAAGTGAGGGTGGTGTTCAGGCATCTTATGCAGGATAGTCAGTGGCAATATGCACCTGTTTTGGACTTTGCGACTCGCAGTACCTTCAGATCACTGCGGGCTTCGACGTAGCCACGTGGCTGTCAACATATTCAGGATGAATGGCAGACAGTAACGTTGTGCTCAGAAACTGGGAACAAGTCCAGAGGTTGGGAAGGTGGTAAAGTTTCCCGACCACCTGTTCCCGACTCCAGCCAGCCAGACGCCTTCCCACGGGAGGTGGTGGTCGGCGTGTTTATGTGTGAAGGCACGTCATGGGTGGCTGCGTGATGCGTTTCATGCAGGTTAGCGCTGTCCACCGCCCCGGCCAGCGGTCGCGTGTCAGGGTCATGCTTGGATGTGTTCAACCCAGAAATGTGAAATGGCGCTTCATGATCTCCGATCAAACCCGCCATTCCTCGCCTCGTCAAAACGAAACCTGATGTTTTATTCGCAAAACGATTAAGTGGTTAAATCACATGCATGTTTCATGAAGTCCAAGAAATTGAAATTGAGAAAATGGCATGGCAACTATATAACCCATTGTAGAAGACATACACTAGTATACAAATAACTAGTCTATATCAATTCTCATGAAATTGCTGCCAATAAAATCGACCGAACATAACTCGGATGGTAGGTGCTAACCAGAAACCAGAGGAACAGAATCCCCGAGCTGGCTCAGGCATTCTTACCTCTTGTCCACTTCTTACAAGAAAAATTCAGGTCGATGAACCATGCAAAGGACGCCCAGTGGTCTCCAATGCGCCTGATCACAAGGCGTACCGTTGAAGCATCGCTTTGCGATCACTGCGCGTGCTTCCGCCACGAGGCCCTTCCTCGTCCTCCTCGGCATTCACCTCAGCCAGCCAACCAGATGAGCGCTGTTTCTGGCATTGCCACGGGAGAGCATTTCGTCCCGAAGCTCGCAGCTCAGCTGAGGCGCTGATCGGTGCACCTGTGTCCCACCCTGCCCTCGCCGCTAGGCACCTCACCTCACTAGCGGGGCCCCCGGCCCAGGCGCCTCGAGCGCTCCCCGTCTCCGTATGCCGCCACCTCCCACCGGTCATCGGTCGCGCCGGCACAAACACCATAACCAGGCAAGAACACTAGCTGTTTATTACTGAGATAAAAATGACACGACAGCTGGAATAAATTAGCAATCCACGCGCTCAGAGCCAGCCGTTCGCAGCACTGCAGCTATCCCATTGGTCATCGCTAGCACACTCGTTCGCTCACAGGAAGGAGGCGGAGAAACAGACGGAGACAGACAGAGAGAGAGAGAGGCGGAGACAGGGGGAGACATAGACAGAGCGCGGGACGACAACCCAGGCAGGGCGTGGGGAAAAGAATCGATCACGTGCACACGTCATAGAGAACAAACAAAACAGCTCGGTTGGTGTGGGGGCGGGGCGGGGGCCGATGGCACCCTGAGCGCTGCCGACGGCCGGCGGGCGGACGGGCCGCCCCGACGGCGTCGCGGCGCGCGCGGCGGCGGCGGCAGCGGCGGGCGGCGGCGGGTGAGGGTTATAAAAACACAACACCCGGCGGCGGGGCGCGCGGCCTCGGGCGGGCCGGCGTGTTTGTGATTGGTTGACACGGCTCGCGGCGCCGCCGCACTGTGCTGTTCGGTCGGGCCGCGGCGCGGCTCGCTCTCGCGCTAGACTTTGTACACTGGCGGCCGGTCGGCGGCGTCGGCTGGCTGCCGCGCCAGTCACAATGCTCACCGCCAGGCGGCGCCAGGGCTTGCGGGCGGCGCGCCGCAGCTCGGGCGGCGTCAGGCGGCGCCGCATCCGCCTGCCGGTGGAGGCCCGTCAGCGAGGCGCGCGGCTCGTGCGCCACCGCCACGGCACGGCCGTCGCTACCGAGGCCGTGCTGGCGAAATGACGGCCAGGCATCATGTCAACCACTCCAAAAGTCCATGGCTCAGCCCGTTAACAGAGACGCGATTACACACAGCCTTTCAACAGAAAGTTATCAATGGGAGTCCCCAGCGAATCACAAGCGAGCAAAAGGCCAATTGTTGGTACCACACGGCCTGGACAACATCGGGCTGTAGTCATCACAAGGTGACCAATAGCAAGATTTAAAGGAAATATTCAATATTTAAAGATAACGAAATGAGCATCAGCATATGATGAAATAAGCTAACCTTATAACTCCCGGTACATTCTGAAGTGGAAGACTGCTATAGACAACACAATTTCTATGTTAGCAAATACGCTCCTTAATACCTCATTGTTTGATCACGTCATCGCACCTTGCACAGCGTCACCTGAGAGCCAATTGACGGCCGTCAGATCTGGAGATCGTGCTCACGAACGCCAGATATGAACAACTCGCCAAGCATATTTCTATCAGGCCTTCACCACCGCATGGCTAATGGAATGGTAAGATCTGAATGACTTCATCATGGCATTATGGATGCCTGTATGACCTTGATATAGTCTTCCCAAAATAGTCTGTAATCTTCGCGGGCGTGTAGCTCAGAAAATCGAGGGGTTTAGATCTTAAGAACGGCAGGGCTGTTAAATGCACAGAATGATCTTCAAGATGGCTACTCCATCTCAAAACCCCATACAAATGTGGAACATCTCTTTAACAATCATGATACGGGTCATGCCGACCAATATGCACAAACTGCCATAACACTGGCCCGATTGGGCACGTCATTTGCCCATCTGCAGTACAAGTTTACCGACTAGAACAGCACTTCAGCGTTGTCTTGTCCCAGCCAGCGTATTTTTGTTTTGCTGCTGAACCACTTCCCTTGACTCACGACAGCAGGAGAAAAGGTGCTTTTCACGTGGAGGAAAAACACTCGCTTGTTGTGTGGGGGCCACTCTTGACTCCCAAAAAGGCAGTGCACCAATTCTCACACTGTCACTCACGGCTACGAGCACAGCACACACAGATCTGTCTCTGGCCACCGCTCAGGGCTTCGACACCGCCACCTTGACCCTGGCCGGAACAGCTGGAGCAAGCCCCGGCTGACCGGAATACAAAAATGTCAACCCGTCCATGCCCATAGGCCCTCACCCTTAACGGCAAAAGTTCCTCTGCATGAGTGGATACGTTGCCTTCACCCCAGCGCGGCGAGGCGTGCGCATGCAAAACTAGAGCCCACACCCCACTTATCAATCCGCAGCCTTTGCAGCCTCCACCCACCGTAGCCCAGCACTTGCTGACACACTGGTTCTGGCCCACTGCCCCCCCCCCCCCCCCCCCGTCCCCAGTCACACAGGTCTTACTTTGTGTTGGCGTTAGCCACGTGGAACACGTCGTCAGGCGCGTCGGCCAGCGAGATAACCTTCTGGCGTCCGCCGCCCAGCCGGGTGACGGTGGCGATCTTGGCGCGGCCGCCGCCGTTCACGTGGTTACCGGAGCGGGGCGCCGCCGGCTGGCGACACGAGCCCGGCGCGGTCACGGCCACGGCCACGGTCACGGTCACGGTCACGGTCACGGCCAAGGTCACGGTCACGGTCACGGTCACGGTCACGGCCACGGCCACGGCCACGGCCACGGCCACGGCCACGGCCACGGCCACGGTCACGGTCACGGTCACGGTCCCGTCCCGTCCCGCGGCACCCGGGGGCGCACATCACACCCCATCGCCTCGCCTAGTGCGGCTCCACTGCCGGCTCAGAGGGCGCCGGAAACGGCAGCGCAACGGACAGGGGACATCCGCCAGCTGATCTCTCCGAGCACATAGACGTCGTGAGCAACACAAGCGATCCATGTCATCGCGCGAACGGGCGTGGCGGCTGTGGCCGGTCTGTTCTGCCTTCGACCTGCCGTGACCCACCGATCTCTGCCAGTGCCATATGACCGACGTAGTCGGTGCGCCCCAAAGCCCAAATAATAATAATCATCATCATCATATCTGCCAGTGGGCTGGGCGCAGCGCCGGCTGCGCCCGCGCCCGCGCCCAGCGGGCTAGCGTTTCGCGCCACTCGCGCACGCGCACGCGCCACTCACCGGGGCGGGGGGAGCCGGGATCGGTGTGATGGAGACAGAATCCCGCGGGCGCTTCGGCGTGCTCGCTGAAACGACACGGCTCCGGGTCAGCCACCGCCTCCACACGACTTGGGCGCGCGTCAGCCACGGCTCCACACCCCAGACGGAAGGTCCCCGCACTGTCTCACACGACAGAGACGCCGCCACTGGCAGCCTTCACAGACAGGCCACGTCAGACCACCGGACCAGCCAACCGATGGGCGCGCATCTCAGCCGGACTCCTCAGATTGTCATAGCCGGCCGGCACCCGCAGCCGTACCAGACCGGGCAGAGCGCGCGCGTCGCCTGGCCGGCCTGACTTTCCTCCCCGCTGGTTTCCTCGCACTGACCATCCACGCCGTTGGTCTCCTCGTATGGCCGCTTCCGCATCAGGGTGACGCTCGAGTTCAGCTGGATCTTGCTCTCCACCGGCGTGTAGATGAGGCTGCCGTCTGTGCGCAGGGCGGGAGGCCGTCACGCGCGGGGCGTCACGCCGCAGACCGGCGCACTCTGTCGGTCACTGGCCAGGCTGCTCCAGCGCGCGGCGCACTATGCGCTGGAGCAACGCGTCTTCAGACAGGACGTGCAGGAGACGGTTTACATCCACGATTTACAACGGGGCGGAACCACCCGGTGGCTTGTTATGAGACACGCGAGATCCCAGCACCAGCATCCCGTGCGGCGGACACGCGGGCGAGCGTCGGGTACCCGGCTACGCACCACATCAAGGCTCAGCGCTGGCTGTACAAAACCGCGCGAACGCCGAGCCCCGCGCCTGCGCCAAATCCCACGGCAGAGCATCAGAACAGATTGATCAATCAACCAATCAATCACGACAAGGCGCCCCTAGGTGTTGGAACGTCAGGCAGCCTTTACTTCATCTGCCCCTGATCTGGTTCGGCACAGCAGCCCACTAAAACATGACCACCACGTGGCCTGCACGGCGGCATTGTAGCTGACGCCAGCCCTGAGCCAGCACCACCCATGCGCCGACCACTGGCGCCCGTCTCCTCAGTACAGCTCCGTCACAGCAGTCGCAACTGTCTGATCTGTCCGGGGATGTGACGACGGCTGCCTTCGGCATCACCGCACCGCGCTCTGAGCCGGGCCCAGCCGCCCGCCTCGCGGGAGCCGGACCCACCCTCACCCCACCGCCACTCACCGGGTGCCTTGGGCGGCCGCGGGAAGGCCACCCGCTCCGGCTGCGGCGGCGGGCCCGGCGCCGGCACCATCCACTCCGGGTGCTGCAGCTGGTGGCCCAGCTTGGGCCCGATGGCCGAGACCGAGCCGCGCTCGCGTGGCTTGCAGCGCGCCTGCAGCAGCGCCTGCAGCTCCTCCTCGCTCCTTTCCGTCATCAGCTGGTTACCTGTAGTCAGTGGTGTCACACGGCGTCATCGCCCGCACGGACAGACGGCACGTGGGGGCCGCCGCGGGACTGGCGGCTGTCTGCCGTAAAGACGGCACGTGGAGGCCGCCACAGGGCTGGCGGCTGTCCGCACGGACAGACGGCACATGGGGGCCGCCGCGGGACTGCCGGCTGTCCGCACGGACAGACAGCACGTGGAGGCCGCCACAGGGCTGACGGCTGTCCACATGGTGACGTGTACGCAGCGCAGGACACTAGATCGTCGGTTTGGTTCTACAAGACACCGCGAAGTCCTGCGGTGGCATGGCACACACCGACCAACACGGACAGTCTGGCCAAACATACACCGATTGGTTCGCCATTAAAGCCCGCAAACCAACCAACCAGCCGCTATCCCTCCCACAAATTCACGTGCACGGCGCAATCGCTCGCCACGCTCCGCACCCCAGCCGCGCCCGTCCCCAGCGGCGGCCACTCACACTCTGCCTTGATGGCGGCCACGTTGATGGCGTGGATGGGCGTGCGGGCGGCGCGGCGCGGCTTGATCATGTGGCGGCAGAGCCGACGCGACAGCCGCGTCATCGGCGTCGGCGCCAGGAAGAAGCTGGGCCGCGTGCGCGTGATGGGCCGCGAGCTGCCCGTGCCCGGCAGCAGCAGGCCGTGCGCGTTGGCCGCGTGGCGGATCAGCTGGGCGCGCTGACGGAACTCCTGGCCGCAGCCGGCCGACGTGCACCGGTGCAGCTTCACCAGCGACGCCGACGACGCCGAGTGCTCGCTCTCGCCGCTGGCCGACGGCGGCCGGTCGCCGTCTGCGGACGGGGCACGGCGGCGTCACAAGCGCGGTGACGAGGCCACCTGCCCGGGGCAAGGTCAGAGGGGCTCGCCGTCTGCAGAGGGGAGTGAGGACAGCGATGCTCGGTGACCAGGGGGCGGCGCGGTGGAGACGGCGCTCGCGCCGCCAGCAGGCCACCGACACTGTCGAAATCGGCGCCGATTCTGCACACCCACCGGCCACACCTGTGCGAGACCATCACGGTGATGGCAACAAGCTACGCCCGAAGCTTTTACCAACAGTTGGTACCTTGTTGGCACAAGGACCCATGAGCGCGATGGTAACGTGCCGGCGGGCGACTCACCTTCAGCCGTGGGCTTGCGCACGCCGCCGTACTTTTTCCAGCGGTCCCAGCAGTTGGCGCAGAGTCGGCCGCCGAGGTGGGTAGGCCCCCACGAGTACCACTGGCTCGAGTGAGTCTCTGTCGGCGGCCAACATGGCACCAGTTAGTCGACTGCCAGCGGCGAGTATGTGAGCACTCGTGAGGGGCCACGCGCAAATGGCGGAGCTCGCCGGCTGATCCAGTCCAACCTTCCTCTCCATGCTGATGAATATTTCTCACAGAGAACATCACGAGGGTCAGCAAGCATCAACAATGTTGCTCACTTGTCTCAAGTAGTAATGCTTGTACATACAATAATGTGGTAATGCCCATAGGATTAACAGCTGTCGGCGAAGGAGTGCTGTGGCCTTTCCTCGCTACAAGCGCCAAAAATCATACAATAACCGACCGACATCCAGTGCTCTTCACTCGCCCCTACCGACCAGAAACGCCCCTCCCCCCCCCCCCCCACACCAAAAATAAGCACACAGACACAGCTACCAGACGCATCTCTGTTTAACCACTTCCTCCTGCACCGTCAGCGGTATACTACAGCAGCCTGCCCTAGCGTGACCCCAACATCCTCGTCCCACCAGCCGTCTCCGGCGCGCCTGTGGTTTCCACGTTCGTCCAGCGCAGCTCCAGCCCACCCCTGCTCTCCAGGCGGCCAGTCCTGCCGCCGCGCGAGCCGCCAGTCCGCCGCCGCCGCCCGCTCACCTGAGCAGCCGGCGCACGGCCGGCCCGTGTCCGGTCCGCCGGCGCCGTTCACCATCTTGCCGTTGCTGAGCGCCGCCGGGTTGGGCTTGTTGTAGTTTGGAATGTAGACCTGCTTCAGGCGTGACTCGGCCTCCACGGCCTTGACGCGCTTCTGCTGCACGTACCGGTCGGTCGTCTTCCACATGTAGTAGTACTCCACCAGCTGGGCGTTGCTCTTCCACGGCAGCTGCGGACGCGGCGCGGCGTTCAGGACAGGCGCGGCCGGCCGCCGGCCGAGCGGTGCGGCCAAAGGACACGCCGCCGCCGAGCTAGGCACTCCACACAGCCAGCGCGCAAAACGGGCTTATTTGCCACGAGTGCGAGCGCGTATGCGGGCTCCCTTGATCCCCACAAGGAAATCCAAACCGTTCTGACAACTGGATCGTGGACCCACCGTTGTTACACAACAGCGATGGGTTTGTTCTTCCCCAGACAGGCGAAAGCCTGGCGCCCACGGCAGAGGCTACGGGCGGTGGTGGAATTTTGACAGAGAGGGCGCTCAGAGGGCATTAAACCCTAATCAAGTAAGTACTCAGGATTTTGTAAACAGAAATGAGCCCAGGATCTGTGCACACACCACACAATCATGATCACACCAAGCAAAAAGTACCAGACACGCGCGCGTCACATCAATTTCTATCGTCCAGTGAACTATCTCAACCGTTTTTCTTCCAAGCATCCACCCAACATGCCCGAACGTCCTCCCCACCCACACTCCAATCGCAATACCTTCCAATCGGACCTCGTCTCCTCCGCGCTCTCACTGCACAAGATCATGCACGCCTCCTGCGCGCCAACCTTGTCTACGATCCCATCTCCGCGCGCTGGAGTCGGGCTGGAGACGTCCCCAGCAGCATTCCCGGAGATCCCTCACAAACGGACACACTATGGGTGAAAGCTTTTCGCCTTTCTCGGGGTTGCCTCCGGGACAGGGCGATTTGTTTGGATTTTGGCTCATAATTGATGCATTTCCTAATAACTTTAACTGAATTACACTGTTGCATTTAAGTCTCGAAATAACACTTATAATGCCAATAAAGCAGAGACACTTACACTTGGGACTTTTTACTACATTCCAATCCTGAGAATCAAAATCCATAACTCTAACAGGGATCCTGTATGGTTATTCAGGTGCCATAGCACTTCATGGGGGGGGGGGGGGGGAGGGGGAAGGAGTGAGGGACAAGGAAGTGGTTGGAAGTGGTGGTCGCACAGCTGAGTGGAAATGTTTCTGAATCCTCAAGTCTTTTTTTTCTTGCAACAGATGATCAGAGCTACCAAGTCATATTTGAACATGGTCTTCAGAGTTAATCATAGCACAGCAAACCTCAGTTGATTAACGAAACTAGTTGAGGCAGTTGATGACAAACTCCTACAGGAAGCTAAGCAAAGCCAACTTTGCCACGAGACACGAATGCAAACATGCAACAACTTTTTTTTTACTCGACCTCTCGACCTAAAAAAAACAGGCGGACACGAAAACTTCGCCTCCCACCTTCGTTGGGAAAACGCACTCCAAGCCTAAGTTCCCGAATCCAATTCCCTCTGGCCGCGGCCCAGCCGCCCCGTTGACCAAACCGCAATGCAGGACGCTCCAAACTCGGCTGCGACGCCGCGCCTCGCCTCGACCCCAGAACATCCTGACCCCCTCACGGCCGCCCCAGCCGCGGCGCGCACTCACGAAGTCTTGCCGGACGTCGTTGAAGTCCTTGCCGTACTTCTCGAGCGCCTCCTCGAAAAGGTTGGCCTCACTGGCCGACCACTCCTCCATCTCGTCCCGGCAGAGCACGGGTCCGCTGGACGGCACCAGCGACGCCAGCGCCTTCGACATGTCGTAGTCGTTCTTGTGCAGCACGTCCATGGCGTGGAACTGCGACGCCCGACGCAGAGTCAGTGGCAGCGTTCGGGGACCGGCGGCGGTTGTGGCAGTTTGAACGCTAGAGGCGGAGAGCGGCGCTCATGCGCAGACTGGTCTGGCTCGTCGAGCTGGAGCGGCCCGGGGCGCACGCGAACGCGCCCACAGGGCTGCAACAGCGGCGGCCGGACAGACCGGGACGGTCACGGAAAGAGGAGAGAAATGCAAGAGGCACAGTTGGAAAGGTAGGGATGGATATAGCGATGCGACCCAGCTACAAACTGGATGAGAACTCTTATAAAAAACAGAAGTGATCTGAATACAACCTGGCAGCATGCGAGGTTGTGACACCCAGACGAGACGAGACTACGACGAGATCGTGACACCCAGACCCAGCCAGTAAGCGAAGGTTTCCCTTTAAACCTTTCACACTAAAGTGTTCAAAAACTTGGAATTCCTTCAAGTGACTGCTATAGGGCACTACTACCTCGGAAGAGCCCCACCACGCGCATTACGACATTCCCCTGCCACATCGGACGGCGGCCCTCCGGCAGGGTCCGGCCCCGAGCTTGGGCTGGCGCTCCCCGAGTCAGCTGCGCCCCCGGGCGGCTGGGGCGGCGCCCGACCGGCGGCAGCGCCCGCCACCCACCAGTGTGATGTCGCGGGAGGCGGCGGCGGCGCTCATGTGCAGACTGGGCTGCTTCACCGAGCTGGAGCAGTCCAGGGCGCGCGCGAACGTGCCGACCGAGCTGCAACGGCGGCGGCGCGGCGGCCGGTCAGGCGGGGCGCGACGTCCGGCCGGCGGCTAACGACCGTCCTCACTCGGCAGCCAGCCGGCGTCACGCCAGCTGATCAGATAACACGACCCTGCATACAATACCGTGCCGCACACGGCTGCCGCGTCCGGGTACGTGCAGTCACCCGCACACCCAGACACGACAGCTCGCGCCGCTTAACTGCACGGCTCACTCTTCAGGCCAGTGCGCGTGCGAATGATGATAAGATATACAGCTGTGGCGTGTGTAGTTATACAGTTGTAGGGATGCCCTGATATTGAAACTCACTGCAGCAAAACCTACCGCACTACCCATAACATTTTACTGACAGCATCACTAACACCGCCACGTGCCAACAGAAACTGGCCAAGACATGCTGAGGTCCCCGGCCCCGCCCTATCCCACACAGAACGCCGCCCGAGCCTCCTAGCAGCCCTGTCCACACCGTCCCCAGCCCCTCCGCTCGCGGCGCGGCGCACACGCACCGCGATATGACCATGAACTGGTCGATCTGACGGTCCGGCAGCTGGTGGTGCGGCGTCCACACCAGCGTCTCGAGCTCCTCGGAGCGGCGCGGGTCAGTCTCGCCCGGCTGCCGCAGGGTCGCGCACGACATGTCCGCCTGATACTTGCTGCCCACGCGGATCTCGCCCTTGTCAGCCAGCAGCGTCTTCTGTTGCGGGTCGTACACCAGCGAGTAGAAGAAGCAGTTCTGCCGGCAGGGGCAGACTGTGGGTCAGGGGTGGGGAGGGGGGGGGGAAGTCAGTCGTGCAGTTCGACGGGGCTCGCCGCCCGGGCCTGCTCAGCGACCGGTCGGCGCAGGTCATCACGGAAGACGCACGCTCGCTCAGGAGCAACGCCTCATGGCGGTCGTCGGTGTCAGCATAGCTCTCAGAGCTCTCGGGGTCCAACCCTCGTTCGGTGCAGCTCTCGGGACTCACCTCTCGTTCGGTGCAGCTCTCGGGACTCACCTCTCGTTCGGTGCAGCTCTCGGGGCTCACCTCTCGTTCGGTGCAGCTCTCGGGGCCCACCTCTCGTTCGGTGTAGCTCTCGGGGCTAACCTCTCGTTCGGTGCAGCTCTCGAGGCCCACCTCTCGTTCGGTGTAGCTCTCGGGGCTAACCTCTCGTTCGGTGCAGCTCTCGGGGCTCACCTCTCGTCCGGTGTAGCTTTCGGGGCTCACCTCTCGTCCGGTGTAGCTCTCGGGGCTTACCTCTCGTCCGGTGTAGCTCTCGGGACTCACCTCCCGTCCGGTGTAGCTCTCGGGGCTCTCGGTCTCGTTGAGTAGCGTGACAGAGCACTTGCCACGGATGTGCGTGGCCGGCAGCGTCTCCACCTGGCGCGAGAGGAAGAGCTCGCGCTGGTTCAGCAGGTGGCGTTGCAGGGCCGCCTCCGTGTCGGCCTCCTTGTCGCCACCGCCCTCGCCGCCCTCCTCCTCTAAGGCACCTGGCGGATGGGACCGACAAGTCAGACGGGCCGCCGGCCGGACGAGTGGCGGCGGAGGTGGTGGTTACCCGAGTGCTTGACACGAACCGGCGGGCGACAACACCGGAGATGCAGGCGAACCCCGCCAGCGTGTAGTGGATATTATGATGTTGCCAGTCAACCATGGTGATGACCATGATCAAGGAGCAGTGACAGCATTCGAGGGGCTCTGGCAAAGGTGAATCACAGCAGTTCGTGACGGTCGCCGACTACGAATACAAAGCTTCCGGTCACGTAACGAGGTCGGTGTAATCGCCAGAATACAGCCTCACCAGAACCAGGCGTGCGATACTCGTGAGCGGCAGGTAAAGTGGGCGATGTAGCGGCAGGTAAAGTGAGAGGTGAAGCGGCAGGTGAAGTGAGAAGTGAAACGGCAGGTAAAGTGAGGGGTGAAGTGGCAGGTAAAGTGAAAGGTGAAGCAGCAGGTAGAAGTGCGAGGTGACTGGTGGGAGTGCCAGACTCAACGTCAAGCAAGTTCGAGAACATCGCATGCACCTGACCGATCGTAACAATTCCTTGCTTCACCTCCCCTCCCTCCCACAATGTACAGCTCCACAACTAAACGGGAGTTCCAATGGATTTGAACGAGACAAACAAGGAGCAAGCTGTTTTTATACCGATAAAGCACGACCAGCTTCCAGCAATGTCATAAAACCCTACGCCACGACCGCACCACACATCCCGAGTGCTCACGCTGAGCACACAGGAGGGGGAAGGGGAGGCGAGTGCAACCGAGCCGCGCCGACACCTCTCTACCGCGTCTCAGCATCGCGCCGTGAGCGCGGCTGGGGGCCGGGGCGGGGGCCCGGGACGGCGCCCGACCGTGCGTCAGAGGTGTCGGTCAGTCAGTGGGCCGGCCGCCGGCTGCCGACATCGATCCGCGCCAGATACACACGACTGCGAGGCGCGGCGGGCGCGCCGCTCGTCACGGTCCGGTTCGTCGCCGCCGCCCGGCCAGCCGGTCAGCCGGTCCGGCCGGACGGACGGCAGCCCGTCAACAAGCGGCCGCATCTGCAGCCGCCGCCAGATGGCGCGCCGCTGGACGGTGTCAGCGACGGCGTCCGGCGCTGACTGCACTCCGGACTCGCTGGAGGCGTGCGTCATCGGGGCTTCCCGTCGCCGCCACCAGGGGCCCGGCGGCTCATTGCGGCCGGAGCACCCCGCGGCTCATTACTGGCCGGGGCTGCCGGGCGGCCGCCGCCGCCGGCCCGCCGAGTACGACACCCGCTATTGCATCAGCGCCGGTGCAGGTCGGATCGCGAGCGGGCCCTCAAACAGAGGAGCCCGCAAACGTATCAACACCAAGGCTCACGAGCTGCCGCCAGGTCCACCCTGCCGCACCTCGTGATAACTTGCGCGAGCGTCTCTGAACGCAAGCGTATCGCATTCTGGTGGAGTGACGGTCCCGCATAATGGTCCGACGAGTGAACAGACATCACCTAACCAGCCAACAGTGTCCCTGAGGGACGTGGGCGTCACGCTCATTGCGACAGACTGTAGCCATCACGCCCAGAAGTCGGCTCTGCCATCACACGGCCGCCTTGAAATAGGCTGACGGCCCGGTACGGCCGCACGGGGCGCTGGCAGAGCGCCACGCTTCAGTCAAACGGCTTCTGCGCCGTACGCTGGCATGAAAGGGCGCCCTGGAAGAGCCGTTCCCGTGGAAAGATCGGACGGCGCTTGGTGAACGAGCATGTGAGCGCTTGGCTGAGCTCGCAGTCCGCTTCAGTAAGCGTGCAGACGTGCTCACTCAGAACCCGCTGAAACGAGCCCGACAGTGCAGCGCGTCCCAAAACCGTTCGTCGAAAGGTCCGGAATTCATGTTTCTCGGTACACTGCAAATTGCAACCGCAAATCGAACACGATAAGCCACTGGTTAAGCCTGATAAGCGCGAAGCCCGAAGGCATGCCCACCACCCGCACCGGTGAGCGGAGATCCAGCACCACCTGTTTCCCGCCCGGCGGCGTGTCCGACCGCGCGGTGCCGCGGGCCGTGTCACCGCGCCAGAGCCGGAGTCGAGAGGGGGTGGCCGATGACCGGCGCCGCTGCCACCGCCACTCTCCCCCGCCATTATCGGAGCGCCGCATCGCGGGGCGAGTGACCGCCGGCCGCCTCCCGCGCGCCAACGGCGGGACGCAACGCCCGCGGCCGGACGCCGCCGGCGGGTCGGCCTGGTGTAGCGTAGCGCCATTGGCTACAACCGCGGCGCCGCAGGGACTCATGCGCGGAAACGTGACGGTTAGGCGCACGACGGCGGGCACGGGGAGAAGAGCCATGTCACCGCCGACTCCTGCTTGCACCCGCCTGCCACACATCGGCGGATAAGCGATGGTGGTCGCGACACGCCTCGCTCGACCGGACCACCTCGCATCGGTCATTGCCGACCGCTCTCCAGCCGGGGTCAGAGCGAGACGGCCCCTCCCCCTGCGGCGCACTCGGGCCTTGTCGATCGCAGCGAGCCGCCAGCCGACGACGCCGACCGCGCCGCTTTGGCCGCCTCTAATTGCGGAGCCCGACGCAACACGACGCAAGCGGGTCACGGCGACGGCGGGCCGCCGGCGGTGCCATCAACCGGGCGCCGCTCATCACGGAGATCACTCGCACACGCATGTCACGAGCCGTGCGAAGAAATCCCGCTGGTCTCCGCAGTCGTCAGTGCTTTTGTTTCATTGTTTTTGCCGTGCATCAGTTTCAGTGGCCAGCCGATGGAACCGGGGGTGGCAGACGGGGGTTCGCGGCCATCCGTCGCCAAAATAAGAGCCGGCCAAACAAGGGCCACACAAAGGTGTCTGGTGAGCAGGCGAGGCGGGGTGGCCGGTCGGCCGGCGGCGGCGGGCGGCCGGCAGCGCAGCCACCGGGCCAGCGGCGCCGCCCAAAGGTGACTGGCAGCGGAAAGGTGGGGGGGGGGGGGGGGAGGGGGGGAGGGAGGTGGCGGGCGTGGACCGGTGTCGGCCATCCGGGCACCGGCCGAACTGGGGCCGGCGCCACACACGGCATGGTCAACATCCGGCCCGGTCACCTCCGGCGGCGTCGCACGCCTGGTGACGCGGACGGCGCCCGCTGCCAGTGGCCCTAACCGGGTTGACCGGGGAGCGGTCAGTGGCCTCTCGGTCGTGCCCGCCGCCCGGCTCTGTCCCCGGCGCCGAGGCGGCGGCCGCACGGGAAAGTACGGGGGATCCCATCGAGCGATCCCCCCACCACCGGGCCGCTGAGAAGATCTCAGTCCCGAGCATCCGCTGCAGGGCCTGCCGTGCAACGGCACGACCGACACCGCAATCCTAAACGCGACGAAACGAAAAGAACGCCGCTCGCGCCAACGACACCTGACCCATCACTGGCGAGGCGGTTGACCAACCGGTCAGACTAGAGCAGTACCGGTTTGAACCGGTCACGCATGTCAGACACCCAGCCGCCGCAACCTTCTTCAGTTCACATCCATCAAGCCTTTCATAGCCAGCAGAAGACTTCCTTCAGATGACAGTGCATTGGGCAGAACCCGGGGGCCGCCGGCCTCACACAGCGAAATGTCGTCGGACGAAGACAGAGGAGCGGCAGCGGCAGCGGCGCCACCGGCCGTACGACCCCGGCGAGGGAGCACGGCCAGCCGGACAGCACGCCCCCGCGCACACCTACACGGGGCTGTTCCAGCCGGCAAACTTGGGTCGGATTCCGCTCCAGCGTTCTCAGACTGCAGCTCGCAGAGCGTGGGGTTCGTTTTCGATTCCGAGCAGCGCGGCACAATTTGAACTCGAGGCCGATTCCGACTTGAGACGAGTCTGAATTCCGGAATGCACTCCGATAAAGCTGGATACAATGACATAGTAAGAGATACTGTCCTTGAGCTCCATAGAACCCTGCACGAGCAATTCATCCAACAGCTATCAGAATAAAAGCATCTGCTGACTCCTGTCACTCTGCTGTCCATGTCCACTTCAGCCGACCCATCAGCTCAGCGATTCCCATCAGACTCGCAAAATATCTCAGCTCAGCGAAATCGATTCCGCTCGGACTGCGCTCGAACTTGGTTGACTCCGGAGTCGACCGGGGCAGCACCGGGAGTCAGTCCAGCCTCTGCCGCGCCGCTCGGGCTCGCCACCACCCGCCCGCCGGCCGCCACTAATTCAACGCCAGCCAGCCGGGCGCCGGGGATCCACACAGCGCAGGGCTGATTTAGTTCCGAAACACCGGTCCCAGGGCGGCCAGCGGCGGTTTACCAACGCCGACGCGGCTTTCCAAGGGTAACGACGGGTTGAAACCCGCCCCTCCCCCCCCCCCCCCCCCCCTCAGATCCCATAGCTGGTCACAGCGGTAGCGCAGAATCACCGAAGACGATTTTTCAAGCATTGAACCGCTGAAGGCTTTCAGCACTTTACTACAAGGTCGTAAGACAATGTTTCTGCTCGTGCTTCGAAATGTCGATTGGCCGTCTCTGGGGCGTATAAAAGGCAAGTACCAAAGGCATCAGCGGGGCAATTAAACGCCCACCATACCAGGGGAAGGGGAAACTAATCAGGGCGAGTGACACGGCTGTTCGCAACACTATAAACGCAACCATTTAACGCATGTGTCGGTCTCCTCCACAATGTTTCGAGGACAGTTGCTAAGCGGCATATGACATCAAAATGAGGAAGTAGAGCAGTTTTATAACGTATCGCGAGCATCACATCAGGGCGTTCGTGTGTTCGCGTCATGCAGCCTCTGTCACGCACTGTACCGAGGGACGGGAGCGACACCAAACTAGGAAGGAAGTGCCGCTTCGCAGTTCAGCGACAAAGGCTGCGAGGCGACATCTGCTGTAGTATACGTCCCTTCGTGTTCCTTCCATAACCTCATGCAATTAATATCTCAGCGAGTTTTCCGAGAATCACGCGAACGAAAGGAGTTTTACAACTTTCTGCAAAGATTCGAGGCAAACTTATGTGCACCGTCAACAACGATCACGTCCGACGATCTATAAGTA